CTGACTAGGATCGTTCCCATTTATCAAAATCCACTAAAAATTCGATATCTCTGTCAAATCTCAATATGGGCACGAATCCTTTGGAGGTTTCTCTAATCTAGTGGTTCCCTACCTAATGGGCAACATATGAGCTCAAAAGCTTTTAATCACTTGGGAACGTTCCCTCGTCAGAGTAAAAATTAATGCCCGCGGAGATATTTGTGAAATTTATACATGTTATTTCAGTGACAGATTTAGGATTTTGATAAATGGGAACGATCCTAGTCAGAATGTATTTTCAAGTATACTCAGAGGCCGTATCGGTTGAATATTTGTACGTTATTTGCTACAGAAAATAGTGGCGAAGCCAAAACAAATTGTAGAGAAGGTTCGGTTCCTATTCGAAGCTGAAAAATAAGTATATCTCAAGAGGCGGCACAAGTGGTTCACAAAAAAGTTAGACATAGTATATATAAACATCACGTAATTGTTTAGAATACCACATAGCTGTTAGTAATCTCATTGTTACCTGTCAACTTTTTCATTTCTATAATTACATAGAAAAAAAGCTATTAGATTTGTTCTTTTATTTTCTTTCTCACTAAACTCCGACTGTACAACGAAATAAGCGACATACAATGTTCACATATGATATGAGAGAAAAAGACAAATCTATAAAGTTTATGTTCATATTTAAATAGATTGATTGGCCGATTATAAATAAGTAGAAACTATATGGAATATTCTTTAAGAGAACAAAATTGTTTTCAGATCTTCGTTCTTTTTCTTTATATCATTGTTAGACCCTTGGATTTTTTTATCAAGACAATCTATTAAAGATTTTTGACTTTCAAGTTCGTCGTTCATTTGTAAAGCAAGTACTTTAAGACGAATAACACCTTGATGTATATCATCTGAAATTTATAAATTAACATATAAGATTTATGAAAGTAAATAAATAAAATAAACTTACGAAGGTCATCTTCAGTTTCACGGTCAAGTTCATCCATAGCACTACGTGGTTTTCCCAAATAAGTACCAACATCATTGTTTATATTTGTAGGTTGTAACGTCATAGGCGTTGCTGCAGTTGGTTTTGCTGGAGCGGTTTTAGTTTTAGCTACATCACTTGATTGAGGTCGTGAAGTTGATTTTCGAAAAATTGTTGGCGAACGCAAATAATTTTTCATTACACCG